TAATCTTCTTAAGCATGCATTCGAAATCGGCGTACACGATGAATGGATGACGTTCTCGTGACAAAAATTATCAAACTTTATTATTTTATCCTCACTCGATGGTAGAATGATTGCGCAAACGTTCATCATCATGCAGTCCTTCGTATGTTTCAATAACTTTTCATCTGCATAAAAATAGTGAAGGCATCTGCATATAAACAAAGTAACTGCATTAGTACAAAAGAACAAACGCATACACTAAAATAGATGGTAATGGCGTGATACAAACCTGTCACAAATATAAGTTTTACTCTTATGTGCACTGAGCTGGTTTGAAACAAGCCGGGGAAAGATTTTTAATCCATGCAAAGTGGCGCACATTACGGTTGGGCGTTTCAAGCATCAGCAGGTTAACGTGACGAAATCTTTTGTTAGTGGTGAGTTGGAGCGGAGCACACCTTTTCACATTCATGTCCCAGAAATAAACGTTATCGAAACATCGTTTTGGCGCTCAAATTTTGGTATTTGATTAAGCGTTATTGGAAATGCGATGCCCTCCAAATTAAAACGGTGTCATAGTTGGGATACGATGATGGTCGATTTGCATTCACATGGGCGGGATATAAGGCTGCAACTCTCGATCTGACAAAACACGTATCATCGTCATCTGTCACATTTACTACCGCTCTTTTGTCCTGATTGTTTTTGGTATGTCGGTGTAACAACCAACATGCATCGGATTGCATTTATTGATATTTAACATCAAATGCAGAATTTTCGATATTGCCCAACCACTGTCCCGTTCCTGAAATTCTTCCATCAGTGTTAAAGTTGAGTTCACAACGTATTTGTCATAGCAATCGTTCAAGTTTGATGTAGAAAATAATTGTTTATTTCTCACACTGAAACTTTTCACATCAGTTTTATTATTAGCGGTAAACACCCCATACAACACCGTATTCACTTTTATGCATGAATGATTTTGGAAAACTTCCGCTAGACGTTGGAATACTATTTTTCTAGCATCTTCCAAAAAGTTTCGTGGTTCAATATGCTCGGTGTTGATTATAATTCCTGTAGTTATCCGGTTATGGAAAGCTGATTCTACATCCTCCCAGATAAGAGATGATGATGATGCATGTGATTCAGCATCTGTTCTCTTTTGACCTTCGCCTATTTTTACAAATCCGTGTAACTCTGCTCTTAACGATTTAAATCTCGTTATCCTGGCTGTTAAACTATTTTTCAGACCAGTTGATAAGTCCTTTTCCAGTTGCAATCGCTCTATCATTAAATCAATGCATTGATTGCATTGCACCAGACATGCGTTTTGGTCGTCGTTACTACTTATGGCTGCAATACGTTGTGTCAAAAGTTGTTCTATACAAGCAAGTTCGTTTATTAATATTGCCTTTTGACCACTGGGATGATCATTGTCACTATACAATATTCTACGCAAGCCATCGATTCTTTCTTTGTATGCTTCTATGTCTCGCCATCCTTCGACTGATAAATCGTCTCCCATTTGTAATCGTTCGTCTATCAATTCGATGCACTGGTCACATTGCATCAAGCAATCACAACGCACATCTTCAGTATTGATGTTTATCGCCCGCTGCGCCAATAATTCGGTGACGCGTTCGAGTTCCTGCAGTAACGTGGCCTCCATTTCTCTTTTCCACAAACGCGTTAAGTATCCTTGCACTTCTAATTGTCAAACTACATATGACGCACATTGCCAATTTTCTTCCATTTTATTAAAGTGAGGCTGTCATTGGCGAAAGTGTTTAATTGCTGTTCACTCTGCAGCGTCAACAAAACCGCATTTCCAAGACGTAGAAAAATTCGTTCAAGGTCATGAGCAGAACCTCTACCTTCTATAGTCGCGAATTGCAGCGTCAGATTTGCTGCGCCAACAAAAAATCTCATTTCCACTTAGGGCCTTGTGCCGTCTTCCGATAAGACAAAAATAGTTCAAGGTCATGGGGGGTGGGGTATCATATTTCTGCTGATGGTGTCAAATTACTGCGGGGTCTGGTCTGCTAAGGGGGTGGTTATGTCGTAGTTATAGGGTGGGGATTGTCATAGGGTGGGTATTTCTGCTGAGGGTGTAGTTATGGGGTGATTATAGGGCGGGGGCTATCATAGGGCGGTTGTTTCTGCTGAGGGGTGGTTCGGGTATTTCTGCTGAGGGGGTGGTTATAGGGCGGGGGTTGTCATAGGGTGGTTATTTCTGCTGAGGGGGTGGTTAAGGGGTGAGGGAGGGGTGGGGGTTGTCGGGGGAGTATCATATTTCTGCTGACGGTGGTGTCAAATTTCACTTCAAGGTCATGGGGTGGGGAGAGGGGGGCGGGGAGGGGGGTATGATATTTCTGCTGATGGTGTCAAATTACTGCTGAGTCAGCAAAAAAAATGCTGACGCCAGTGATTTAGAATCCGCATAGAACAGCTACTAACTCGTCTTCGCCCATACGCATCTCCCACGCCCGATGGGACTCTTTATCCAGTTTACGGATAAAATGAAATATGAGCACGTCGTCCCAGTATTCGACCGGACGAGATAAATTCCTTAATGCCGTTAAAGCGGCGCGAGATCTATCACGTAAGCTCCTTAGATCGTTTAAAACGGCAGATCCGATCGGGGGTGAGTCAAATAACATTTTTAAATGAGCGTTTATGAGCGCGCGTTCGTTCGCGTATCTGTCTGTCAACAACCTCCACGCTGCTTCGTAATTTGCCGCGGAAGTGGAAACATTTTTTAACAAAAGAGACGCTGCACCGGTCAAACTTGCTTTTAAATAGTGCAACTTTTGCACGTCGGACAACGCTTCATTTGAACTCACTAATGCGTGAAAGAGATCTCTAAAGTTTTCCCACTCTGTATAATCCCCGGAAAATTTAGGCAATTCAATGCGAGGGAGTTTGACAGACGGCGCGGATTCGCGATAACAAGAAACGGAGCTTATATTACAAGGGTTATTTGCTGCTTCGTTGTCCGCGGGTAAGGCTGCCGTCAGAGCGTCGAGGGCGGCGAGGAAGGCCGCTTCCGTATTGTCGAAGATGTCCTCGGAGTAGTAGGAATTTGTCCTGGTCTCCTCCTCGGTTGCAGCAACCTCAATCTGGATGTGCGTGGCTTGGAATTTGTTCCAGTAGTCCTTCAGCAAAGCGAGACGTCCGCGAATCACAGCAGGGGTGTGATTAGCCTTCCCCAGTTTTTTAAAATTGTTGAGTGCATTATTTATTAAACGAGCGTGCACTTTGTTTTCATGCATTAACGGATCCATGATATTGTTATATTACGAGTTTGAAAAATAAACGTACTTTAACCGCATGGTGAACTTTAACGAACGCGTCACTGTTTTCGCGTAGCGAAGTGCGTGAATGTCCTCCGATGTTTATCGGCGGAGGTCGCGATGTCGGTTGAGTTCGAAAGACACGTGCAAAATCCTTTGTTCTGCCTATTTAATCCGGATTAAATTTTAGCACTTTCGCGAATTTGATGTTCACCACACTAATATATTTGTTTTATGCGGCACTGCACTTCCTTTATTTCCTTACAATCCGGCTCGAAGGACCATTTGTTGCGCGCAGAGAATAAATTTTTTCTCTGGGCAAAATACCAGTAATTTTAGTAAGGAAGGAAGGAGTTTAATAACGTTTAGAAACACTTTTAATGTACGTAAGATAATTTAATAAAGAAAAGGAGTGTTTAGTCACTTTACACTGAAAGGCCTTTAATTCGTAAAGGCGAACTGTTTTTAACTTGGTATTTTCAGTCGAAGTACGTGGAGTGAATTAGTCGCGGGGTCAGAATCTTTTGTTACACTTGTCTTCGTCGTGAAGAGCGAAAGAGTAGGCCGATCGTCGCTGCGTCGCGGTTTTTATAATCGTTGGCGCGATGAGAACGCCGAAGTGTTTTCGGCGTCTGGCATAACTTTGCCTATTTTAAATTGACGCGCGCTTAATCCCGAACAAAACCTAAAGTTAAATAACGAAAATAATAAGTTATTCTTTGATGTAATAAAAATATTTTTGTTCAAAGTAACTGTAATAATACACCAACTAAATAAACCTTACCACCAGTCATTAAGGATTATTAATATATATTATTATACACAACATATACAAAAATGAAATATTGCTCGTTTCGTACTTACCACTTGCTTCAATCACTGTTCGTATTACAGTGAGCAGGAATCTGTGACTTCCAAAGGGAGAGAGTTGGTGGGGCACATTCCAGGATTACACAAATTGTTCTCTATGTTTACATTCCTGTTGGCATGTACGTAGTAGTTTATATGGAACGTAAGTATTCGTAAATATTCTATTCACCTCGAATACGCAAAAAACAAACGGCGTACAGTCAATGATAGAAATATTCATACCCTCTTAATGTAGCCAAGAAATGTAGAAAGTATAAGTACAGTGAGTGTAATAAAAAGTGTCTAGTCAACGTTTAAAACAGAATACTTCATTTAAAATTGGGCCAAATAACTTGAGGTTTTTTTTTATTGAGAAGTTATACAAATTTATTTATTAAGATATGTGTTTTTGTCGTTTAAAAAAATTACAATTTGTTGAAATCGTGAAAAAAATAGTAAAAGGCGTGGGAAGGGTGCGGGTCAAACAAGGAGAGAAAAGAAGCATGGCAAGAAAAAGTAAAGGATTTACTGGGGGAAAACGGAGAAGAGGTAGCGTGGATGGAGGAGGTAGAAAAGGATAGAAGAGAGAGAGTATTAGCGGACGCCGAGCGGAGAGACACCGATTAGACCGAAGATAACAACCAGTAAGGGAGAGGGAAACGTAGACGGTCGGCAACACGAGAAAATAAAAGCAGGTTGGCAACACTGTGGAACCACGAAGGCTTCAGGCGGCGAGGAAATAGCTCGAGATATTCGTGTGCAAGACACGTGGTAAAGCTAACGGGAAGTAAAGTGCGAATTATAAATTTTATCCAGGCGAGGAAACGACAAGGGGACGAGAGAAAAGAAATGGACTCACGAGAAGCGCAAACGTGGGAGATGAGAAAGTTGAGAGAGGAAATAAAAGAGTTAAGAGAGGAGCTAAGAAAGTGGAGGTTGGACGAACGCAGAGCAAGAGCGGAGAACACAACAAGAGGGGAGACAGAAATTGGAAAAGAGAAAAAGGAGGAGGAAGAAGAGAAGTACAAGGGACCAGAAAACGAAGAAATCAGGGGTATGGAAAGGGTGAGAAGAGAAAGAAGAAAGAAAAGCCTAATTTGGAAAGGGGTACAGGGAGAGAGCTTGGAGGAAAAGATCTCATACATAAACAGGATTTTAGGAAAGGAACTGGGGATGAGGACAATTATAAAGACCGCAATAGAAAAAGAAGGGGTTGGGGGGAGAAGAATAGTAATAACAGAGTTGGAGGAAGAAGAAAGAAAAAAGGAAATGGTGTGGATCAGAAATGGAATCTGGGAAAGGTGGGGAGTGGAGGTGATCGAGGACCTTTCAATAGAAGAAAGAAAGGTCAAATGGCTAATCAAGGAAAAGGCGAAACAAGAGAGGACAAGGGGAAGATGGGTGGTATACAGGGTGTTTCGTTTAAAACAAGCCACCTAAATAGCCCCTCTATCTCTGAAAATACAAAAAATGTTATTGACGTAATCTAAATGGTTTCAAAAGACGAATCAGATGGAAGGATCGTTTTTTATAAATTGTAATTTTTTAATCGTTTTTTCTAGGTCACTCATGTTTTTTACGTATGTACACCTTTTTTGTTGTTGTATGTTATAGCAAATATTATTGTGCATTCCTCCATGTTTAATAGCACGATCTTGAAGTGACCGTGGACTCTAAAATTTAAACACGAGTGACCTCAAAGAAACGATTAAAAAATTACAATTTATAAAAAACGGTTCTTCCATCTGATTTGTCTTTTGAAACCATTTAGATTACGTCAGAAACATTTTTTGTATTTTCAGAGATAGAGGAGATATTTAGGTGGCCTGTTTTAAACGAAACACCCTGTATAACAATAGAAGAATTTGAGTGGAAGAAGAAGAGCTGGTATGGTGCGAGGAGAAAGGAGGATGGAGAAAGGAAATCCTGGGGGACAGGATCGAGAAAGTGATGAAGACTGACCAAGAAGAAGGAGGAGAAGAAAGGAACAAGGAGAGAAAGAGAAGAGAATAGAGAAAATAAGGGAGGAGCGCAGAGGAGAGCAAGAAGAAAGTGAAATCATAGAATTAAGGGTTTAGTTTAAGTTAAGTAAAGAATAGAATAGCTGAGGCCAGAAAATATTTACAAAACCATGGGCAATTTAAGTTAAGTTAATTTTATAAGACAGATTATTGTTTTGTTACTTGTATGATTATAGTATTGTATTTTACTTTGATATTTTGATTTACGGCCAAGGAGTACCTTTAGTTTTTAGTTTTTATTTTTATTTTTATTTCATTGTATCTATGTTGAGAATAGGACAGAGAATAAGGGGAATAGAAAGGGAAAAGTAAAAGAGGAAAGGAAGTAGGAATGAGAAAGGTAGGAAAGTAACTGGGGGGGGGGGGGGGGTACAGTATAAGACTGATAGAATAAGGAGAAAAGGGGAAATCAAAAGTACTTAAGATAGGAAGCACGGGGGACAATGTGATACAGCTGCAGTATTATAAGTATAGTTATATAACCGAAAATGTATAGTTGAATAAGGGCATAGGGTGTAAGTGTTTGTGAAGTTTGATATTATATTTTATGTTGGAGTTCGTATTGAAGGATTTTAGAAAGATTTATTGGGTCCCCTTGACCATGTTGTTGCCATCTGATTATCAGGCTCTGGGTGGCGCACATGGAGTTTGTCAGTCACCGGAAATAGACGGTATTAGATACTATAAATGTCGCCTTTAGGGATGCAAGTGGTCGTCCTGCTTGCCACTTGAATTATTTACAATGAGGACCCAAGTTCAGGTCAATTCTCAGAATTTCCCGAACTCTAGCTTTCGCCCACCTAAGCGATGCTCGTGTTCCCCTTCTATATCGGAAATGCACTAAGGGCGGTTGGAAGGGAGGGCACGAGCTCGAAGCAAATTTTAGAGAAGAGAACACTTCGTTTTGGTACCTGGTACAAGACGGATAACAGTTAGACACTCAGACAGATTGTAGTAAATTCCAACACGCACACCCAGTTACACGTACACACATATACACACTGCAATAGAAATAAACAATATAATAGTGCATAAATGCGTGAAATCATTTTCTCCCAACCTGCTTGCTTGGGTGACACTAATCCAAATCAGACGGCACTTTGTGCAATATCCCAAGGATTGATCAGCAGTCCTTAACATTGGTCCTTCGAGCCGGATAGCGCAGCCCGAATATTGGTGACAGTCAGTGATTCATCAACTTGGGACTATTCGTCAAGACGAGAAAGTAGACACAGTGGAAATTGCAGTGGTGTGTGCGACAGAGACAGGTGATGTGTGTTCAGAGGTGTTAAGAAGTGTCGAGAACTCAATCACGTAATAAGACGTGTTACGTTGTGGGGAACGTCACGACGCCAGTAGCAGCAATCAGGTTGCCGATACTCATCGTTGAAGATTCAGTCAAGGCTCAACGAGAAGCAGAAGCTGAGGATAGTTCTGGACGATCAGATCAGAATTCTGGACAATTAGGTGCAGCAGGCGTCGTCCAATTACAGTCCTCAAGTAGTAAGCTCATAAATTTTCCTTATTCTATCTGCGTCATTTGCTATTAGAATGGATTCAGAAATGAAAGTTTTGATTTCTGAGCGTGGCCAAATAAAGTCGGCTTTAACGCGGTTTAAGAATTTCTTTAAAGAATTTGGGTCGTCCACACCTGTTAGGGCGCTCCAAAAAAGATTAGAGGCGAACACGGGTTTGCATGAGAAATTTAATACTATCCAATCAAAGATAGAGTTATTAGTAATGGGAACAGATTCAGAAGCAACACATATTGCAGAAAGAGAGAATTTTGAGACTGCGTATTTTGATTTGATCGCGCGAGTCGAGGAATATATTGAGAGAGCCTCCGGTGTACGATCTAGACCATTGGAGACCGTAGCGGGCGGTTCAGCTACACCATGTACAGTATCTGATGCACAGCCTACTGTGAAGTTGCCTACTATTCAGTTGCCGTCATTTGACGGAGATTATAATGATTGGGTCAGGTTTCGGGATACATTTATGTCTTTGATTGATTCGAATGATTCAATGACGAAGGTGCAGAAATTTTATTATCTAAATTCTGCTCTCGGGGGTTCAGCGGCTCGTGTGATTAGATCATTGGGAATTTCAGAAGCTAACTATAAATTGGCATGGGATGTACTTAAAGCGAGGTATGAGAATACGAGTGCTTTAAAGCGGCATCATGTTAATGCGTTGTTGGATTTGCCAACGCCACAAAAGAATTCTCAGGCGTCTGTACGCGAGTTTATTGATGATGCAACAAATCATTTGATAGCTTTGCGTGCATTGAAGGTTAGTGTGGATGCTTGGGACCCCCTGATTGTTCCGATTTTGTCCAGGAAATTGGACATAGCTTCTTCAAGGGAATGGGAAAAACGTGTAGCCTCAGTTTCGGGTGATACTACGTTTAAAATGTTCGCGGAATTTTTAGAGGAAAGATCAACTTATTTAGAAAGTGTTGCGGTCAATAATCAGGTAACGGGAAATCGAGTAGAAACACAGCCACAAAGTTCGACTACTCGTAAATCACCGCGAGTAACGTCGCATATGGTTAGTAAAACACCAAGTTGCTTATGTTGTCAGTTAGAACACGCATTGGCTAATTGTGACAAATTCAAAAAGATGGGTGTTAGAGAAAGAACGAAGCATGTACAGGAATCGCAACATTGTTTTAACTGTTTGCAGCCAGGGCACAGAGTTCAAGGTTGCACGCGCAATCACTGCAAAATTTGTAAAAGGAAACATCATCCCTTATTGCATCGCGATGATCTCCATTCAGTACAGTCAGGTACAAGTAAAAAATCAGATGTAACAAAATTAGACGCGGCGACTTCAGAAGTGACGAATTCGGAAGTCACAAACCCGGAAGTAGTGTTATCATGCATATCAGATCAGAACAGGTCTTTGCAGAATGCGATTCTCGCCACAGCTGTAGTGTCCGTTCAAGACAATATTGGGTACGATCATGAATGTCGGATACTCTTGGATTCGGGATCACAGGCTAATTTCATTACGGATGCATTCTGTAAAAGGTTAGGATTAAAACTATGTCCATTCGAAGCAGAGATAGCACTGTTAGGATCAGTCGTCAAATTAATTAAGGGAAAGTCCGAAATAAAGATACGTTCAAGGCACAATAATTTTCAAATTAGCGTTCTGTGTTATTCAGTTAAGAAAATTACAGATGACATGCCTAATTTTCCGATTCAGAGGGGCGCGATTTTGATACCCTCAAATATAACTTTAGCTGATTCAAAATTTGAAGAAAGTCGACAGATAGATATGCTTGTGGGTTCAGGAATATTTTGGAAGTTATTGTGTGTAGGACAACAAAGAGCAGGTCCCAGCTTGACATGGCAGAAGACTCATTTCGGATGGGTTCTCGGAGGAATTTTGACCTGGCCAACCAATAATACCCAAACGACCAACAGATGTCATTTAGTGACGAACTGTGATTTACACGCGCAATTAGAGAGATTCTGGAAGGTCGAAGAGCTAGATTCCGAGTTTAAGAATACAATGAATGAATGTGAGATACATTTTACAGAAAATACGCGTAGAGATTCTACCGGACGATATATAGTGAAGATACCATTTTTAGAAACCATAAACAATTTAGGAGATTCTCGCGAACAGGCGGAAAAGCGTTTGCGCGCATTAGAGAGACGGTTTGTGAAACAGCCAGAATTACGCGACCATTATATTAGCTTCTTGAGAGAATACGAAGAGTTAGAACATATGACTCAAATCAGTGAGTCAAACGATGATAGGCCTGCATATTTCTTACCGCACCACGCAGTCTCTAAGGAGACTAGCACAACTACAAAAATACGTGTTGTGTTCGATGGTTCAGCAAAGTCTACTACAGGTCTGTCATTGAATGATGTACAGAGGATAGGGCCAGTTGTCCAAAACGATTTAGTGACCATCCTTATTAGGTTCAGAATACACCGGTGTGTGTTGTCTGCTGACATCACTAAGATGTATAGGCAAATTTTAGTCGATTCAACGCACCGGAGATATCAGCGTATTCTGTGGAGAGAAAACCCCGATCAGCCGATTAATGTATATGAGTTAAATACTGTTACTTATGGAACTGCATCTGCCCCATTTTTAGCAACGCGTGTTTTGCGTCAGGTCGGGTTAGATAATTTAGAAAGGTACCCGAATGCAAGTAGGGTTATCATGGACGATTTCTATGTCGATGATTTATTGACAGGCGCGGAAACACCATCAGAGATACGACAATTAAAGAATGAATTGTCTAAGATACTAGGTCAGTCAGGTTTTCCATTGCGGAAGTGGGCCACAAATTGTCAATTTATTCTGGAAGAAGATTCAAATCTGGAAGTAAACAAGGAACTCGCGGCTGAAAGGGACCCAAAAACTCTTGGGTTAATATGGGCAACAAAGGCAGACACCTTACAGTGGTCAGTTTCACAGTCAGATACGAAACGCGTCACGAAACGTATTATATTGTCAGAAATTGCAAAGATCTTTGACCCATTAGGCTTGGTAGGACCTGTTATTATACAGGCAAAGATATTAATGCAACGATTATGGCAACTTCAGACAGGATGGGATGAATCAGTGTCCCAAGAATTGTATTTAGAATGGCTACGATATCGTTTAGAATTAGAGCAATTAGTCAATATTAGAGTCCCACGATGCACTATAGTAAGCAAATACAATAGAATAGAATTACATGGTTTTTCAGATGCCTCTCAGGAGGCATATGGGGCATGTGTTTACCTGCGGTCAGAAATGAAGCCAGGCACGTGGGAGGTTCAGCTATTATGTGCAAAATCCAGAGTTGCACCTTTGCGATCAGTTTCAATACCTAGATTAGAATTGTGCGGAGCATTAATTTTGGTCCGATTAATTAAGAAAGTGAAGGAATCACTTCCATTGACGATATCGGTTGAAAGATATTGGACGGATTCAACCATTGTAATAGCTTGGATAAGTAGTCCACCTAATAAATGGAAGACCTTTGTTGCAAATAGAGTTGCAGAAATTCAGAGTATCACGTTAATTGATAATTGGAGTCATATTAGCTCATTAGACAATCCAGCAGATATTATATCTAGAGGAATGACTCCTAGTGCATTGGTGACGAGCACCCTTTGGTGGTCAGGGCCCACCTGGCTATCTCGGGATGCACGTCACTGGCCGGTCTCAGGTATTAGTACAACAGAAGTACCTGAGGCTCGAGCTGTAAAGGTTTCACTTGCTGTTTTAGATCCAAGTAAGTATTCCATGTTTGGAAAATATTCAGAGTATTCCAGGCTATTGCGGGTGGTTGCATTCTGTCTGAGATTTATTGATAGGATACGGAATAATGCCTCACTGACTGGAGGAGCAACTCAAAACAGATTATCGTGTTTAGAGATAAATCGTGCAAGGGTAACGATATTCAAATTAGTTCAGGAAGAAACATTCCACGATGAATTGATAGAATTGAAGAGGGGTGAAATGGTCTCAAAAAGGAGTTGTCTTTATTCGCTTAGTCCATTCCTGGATGAAGGAGGATTAATCAGGGTGGGCGGTAGACTTGTGAATGCACCCATTAAGTATGATAAGAGGCATCCAATTGTTTTGCCTGCTAAACATTCGTTCTCAGACCTCGTAATTAGATACGAACATATCAGATTATTACATGCCGGTTGTCAGCAGGTGTTGGCGTCACTGCGAGAATCAGTCTGGCTCATAAATGCGCGGAATAATGTTAGACGGGTAGTAAGATCGTGCGTCAGGTGCTTTCGGGTTAAGCCAAGCGCTATAGAAACTTCAATGGGTCAGTTACCTGCTTCCAGGGTGACTCCGGCACGACCGTTTATGACCTGTGGAGTCGATTATGCAGGTCCCTTTTTGACAAAGGAACGAACAAGAAGTAAGATATCTGTGAAGGCCTATATATGTATTTTTGTATGCTTCGCTACAAGGGCAGTGCATATAGAGCTGGCAACAGATCTGAGCACCGAGGCATTCCTCAATTGTTTCCGTCGGTTTATAGCTCGACGCGGTAGATGTAAATGTATAGTTTCCGATAATGGCACTAACTTTGTTGGAGCAATAAATGAATTTAGGGATTTGAAGATCCTACTTAAGAATAAGGATCACAATTCAGACATTTCATGTTTTTTGTTAAATGAAGGTATAGAATGGAAATTAATTCCTCCACATGCACCTCACTTTGGTGGGCTTTGGGAGAGTGCCGTAAAGTCCGCAAAATATCATATTAAAAGAGTAATAGGTGACCAAAGGTTAACCTTTGAAGAGCTTTACACATTCTTGACGCAGGTAGAATCTTGTTTAAATTCCCGTCCAATTAGTCCTTTATCTGTGGATCCGCACGACACAAATCCGTTGACTCCAGGTCATTTTTTGATCGGCGACGCCCTGTGTGCATTGCCAGACACTGATTTGAGGGACGTTGCTGTGAATCGCCTGAATCGCTACCAGTTAATTCAGCAGATGTTTCAGCATTTCTGGCAGCGATGGCATAAGGAATACCTCCATCAAATGCAACAAAAATGGAAATGGCGTACTACCTCGCAGCAGCAACCAGCTGTAGGGACATTGGTCATCATCAAGGAAGACAACTCTCCCCCCTTACGATGGTGTCTTGGCCGAGTTGTGCAGACACACAAAGGAAAGGATGGAGTGATACGCGTGGTCACTGTCAGGACCGCAGATGCTACATATAAACGACCAATAACGAAAATATGTATATTGCCTATAGAGGACAATTTAAAACAGAGCCATGTACCAACTTAGAGGATAATTAGATATAACGAACAAATTAGTTAGTTTATATTTGTACGCAGTAGCTTAACAGATTTCATGTATTCTATGTATTATTTTGATTAGACTAGTTATAATGTTAACCATTGCATACTTGACTTTGTGAATTTTCAAGTTTAATTTAGTTTTTTGAGACAGATTACTTAGAACAAGTTTTATAGATTTATAAGAAATAGGTTGAACGGTTACCCGTCCAAGGTGGGCGGAATGTTGGAGTTCGTATTGAAGGATTTTAGAAAGATTTATTGGGTCCCCTTGACCATGTTGTTGCCATCTGATTATCAGGCTCTGGGTGGCGCACATGGAGTTTGTCAGTCACCGGAAATAGACGGTATTAGATACTATAAATGTCGCCTTTAGGGATGCAAGTGGTCGTCCTGCTTGCCACTTGAATTATTTACAATGAGGACCCAAGTTCAGGTCAATTCTCAGAATTTCCCGAACTCTAGCTTTCGCCCACCTAAGCGATGCTCGTGTTCCCCTTCTATATCGGAAATGCACTAAGGGCGGTTGGAAGGGAGGGCACGAGCTCGAAGCAAATTTTAGAGAAGAGAACACTTCGTTTTGGTACCTGGTACAAGACGGATAACAGTTAGACACTCAGACAGATTGTAGTAAATTCCAACACGCACACCCAGTTACACGTACACACATATACACACTGCAATAGAAATAAACAATATAATAGTGCATAAATGCGTGAAATCATTTTCTCCCAACCTGCTTGCTTGGGTGACACTAATCCAAATCAGACGGCACTTTGTGCAATATCCCAAGGATTGATCAGCAGTCCTTAACATTTTATTTTTATAGATTATATTTTGATACAGGTTCGGCAAGAGGAGCAATATTTGTGTAAAGGTTCGGAACCGCTCCTAATAAAAGCGCCTCAAAATCCCGATAGGGAATTGATAAATAAATACATACAAATAGTAAAAGGCAATTTTTCATGTCTTTTATGTGAGCCTATAATAAGAATTTGAAATATGTCTTTCGTAGATTCAAATAAGTTGTGGGTATGCAGAAAATTTCGTCGAGATCGGCCAATGCACTTAGAAGTTACAAATAATTAAAATTTCTGAAATTCACAACTTTTCATTTTAAAACGTGACTAGTTATGTTCTTAGATGAAAAAATCACAATTTTCGAAAATTTTAATTACTTGGTAGTGCTAAATACATTGATCGATCTCGATGAAATTTTCAGCATACACATAACACACTTAAATTTACAAATGTCATATTCTAAATTTTCATTGCAAACTCACATAAAAAAGTTAATAAAAAATTGCCTTCTACTATTTTCTTTCACGATTTCAACAAATTGCAATTTTTTAAAACGACAAAAGCACATATCTTAGTAAATGAATGTGTATAACTTCTCAAAAAACCTCAAGTCATTTGGTCCAATTTTAAATAAGGTAATCTGTTTCAAACGGGAACCGAACACTTTTATTACACTCACTATACAACCTGTCGGAATACGTTTTTCGATCAAACGCAATATGTCGCGATGTACTTTTACAATCCGACTCTGGTAAAAAAGTTGAAGATTATTCAGTTCGAAGAATAATGTAATAATTATAAAATTGTAAGGAGTACGAGGCCGCGAAACCGCGGGTCCCGCCAGCGCGCGCTAGTACCGGTGCCACCGATAGGTGGCGACCGCGCGCACCGCGAACTCGCGAGGCAGCCGGCCTCGCGAGCATAGATGTACAGTAAAACCTGGATATATGCAACAAAAGTTTGGCTGGATATATGCAACATCGCTATCCCCTCCACTTGGGGGGATCCCCCTAAGCCGAACCGAGCCGCTCGGCGAGGAAACCGTGTAATATGATCCGACCGTAATATCGGTGTGACTAATACTAATTGAACGATAAAACTTTTTTATTTTTAATTTTTTCTTAATGAAACTTTTACTAACGCATTTGTGAGATTTTTCTGATTAAGATGGTACCAAACACGATATGATTTGAATTATATTTATTTATTAAAATAATAATAAAACTGTACATATGTATAAGGCAGGCCGTACACCAAAGCTACATCAAAGACGCAACATGCAACATGCAACTCGTTGCATGTTGTGTACGAACGTAGAATAGGTATCGCGGCACGGTACAAACGATTTGTACGAACGTAGAATAGGTAACGCGGCACGGTACAAACGATTTGTACGGACACAGAATCGGTACCAAAACTGGATATATGCAACGTTTAAATGCCCAGAATCGACACCTCGGCTGGATATATGAAACATTAAATGCCCAGAATCGACACCTCGGCTGGATATATGCAACGTTTAAATACCCAGAATCGACACCTCGGCCGGATATATGCAACGTTTGAAACCCGAGCCGACACCGCAACCGGTTTTCATTTCCAATCGTCCTTTGCTTTTCGCCACTTTTAACATCAATTTTAGCAAGTAATTATAATTCAAACTATATCGTGTTTGGTACCACTTTAATCACAAAAATCTCACCAATGCGCTAGTACAAGTTTCATTAAAAAAAAGTCAAAAATAAAAAAGTTTTTTGATTCAATTAGTATTAGCCAAGACGCATAAAAAGACGCGTGGAAATGTAATTGAATATTAAGTAATGCAAATTTTAATTAAATTGCAAGTATTTGTGAATTTATGTTATATTCGATCTATTTAACACTGCCATGAATTTTGTACTTATATCGCATTGCTTTACGTATGAAAAACGTTCATGTTCCTCGTTGACATCGTACCATCGCATTCAATGAATGAAAAACTTATTGCCGCAAAATTCATTATTTTGCACTTATCACTCAATGTAACGAAATTGTACTATAAATTGGCCTATTATTGCGATCGTCCTCACAACATAAACGAACATAGCTAGAACCCATAGACAGATCGCGTAGTCAGTTGAAACGAATACCTGACAACGTTACATCTTCAATTGATTGCTACTGCTCTAATAATTAATTGAATCTTTTGAAAATTGCTGCGAAGGTAGTCGTTTCAACTACTATTATTTTATTTTCTAAAATCCAAAACCGGCCACGTCTGCTTGGGGCGACTGGCAATTGTTTGTAAAAAGAAACCGGCCACGTCTGCTTGGAGCGACCAATTGCTTCTAAAATAAATAAAAAGCAAACCAACCACGTTTGCTTGAAGCGATGGGTAGACCTACAAAACATGCATCCCGTATAAGGAAGTATCGTGCGAATGAACCAAACGACGCCACGCAATTACGTCTGTACAAAAATTGCAAAAGAAATACAGAGGCACGATGTCATGAAACTATTAACGAACGCCATTTGAGATTATCTTCAATGCGAAAATATATGCGTTCAAAATTATTGCGTGAAACGATAGAAGAGAAGAAATGTCGCCTAACCATAATTTATAATTGTTTAAAGAACGAATCTGTCGAAGAATGATCACATAGGCTTAGATTAATCAATAGGCGCCTAGCAAACGAATCTGCTGAGGAACGATCACGTAGATTGAGATTAATCCATAGACGCTTAGCGAACGAATCTGCTGAGGAACGACCACGTAGATTGAGATTCATCCACAGGCGTTTAGCAAACGAATCTGTTGAAGAACGATCACGTAGACTGAGATTAATCCACAGACGTTTATCCAATCAATGTATTGAAGAACGTTCACATCAGGGTGACGGTTTGGTCCCGCCGTACATTGGTCCCAAATCACAAAATCCTGGCCAAAACCTCGAAAATGAATTTTTAGTTGGGACTATGTTAATAGCTGGGTTGTACACGCTAATAGTGAGTCTACAGGAAAACTAAGGAGTAAAGGTTTTATTACTTATACCTGGAAAATGGTAAGCGTTCAATTACCGCGTTCATTCGTCACGCAGTTTCCGTGCAGTGAAGTACAGTGTGCAAGAGCAAAGTGAAAAGTGAATAATTTTAAACAGACTATATTAATTTCAATTCTGCAAAATGGACGCTGTTTCTGGAAGTAAGTAGAATGTTTATTAGTACTAGTATATTTATAATAGTTAACGATAACGCTGTATAATAGGGAAATGTATTACAAATAATAAAAGGTAAAACTTCACGCGCGAATGTTCAAGATGTAGACTAAAAGTTGCATATTACGCAATATTACGCTAAAATTCTTGTCCAGGCATGTAGTTGATACTTTCATCTTACAGTTTTTGCAAAAATTAGCTGCCACTAAGTGCCACCCGGATCGTACGGCTATTTTTTATAATGCAGGGTAGGCGCGTTACTGTATGTATGGTTTTTACATTTTTTATTTATTACTGTGAATATTTAATTTAATAAATGCAATATAACTTGTGACTGAAGTATTTTCATTTACAAATGGCACATAATTCCATCACGGGTTACCATTTTGGATCGACTATTCAAAAACTACAATTTTATAATTTTAGATTTTCACAATTTCATAATTTTTGGTGTTTACTCAGAATATTTGGAGTTTTAATCCTGATTTAGCGATTCAAAAACACCATTATACTCATTTTCGAGAAGAATATTCAATTTTTCAATATACACATCGCTCATATTGGATTCGCCATTTTGTTTTTTAAAACTTTTACTTATGATTTGTGATCTATAACACTAAATACTCCTATACAGCAAGTTTCAGCCGATTATAACATTTTTTTCGTACACATGCTCACTATATAGGATCCACCATTTTGTTCTTTACAATTTTGATTTTTGATTTGTAATCACCGACCTCGAAAACCCCTAGGTACGAATTCTCATTTAAATTGAAAACCACCTTCATATTTTGGCCAGGATTTTGCGATTAGGGACCACTGTGCGCCGGTGGGTGCCGACTCAGGTCGGTTGGCCGGGGGTCTCGAGAATGAGTAAGCCGGAGTAGTTGTTCTATGCGGATTCTAAATCACTGGCGTCAGCATTTTTTTTGCTGACTCAGCAGTAATTTGACACCATCAGCAGAAATATGATACCCCCCTCCCCGCCCCCCTC